ATTTAACCCCAGAATGCTCCTTCCTCGCCAGCTGCTGGAGGGCGCGCGGATTACAGTGGCCCATCCTCCGGTGCCACATGTGTGCATTCACCTTCGTCTTGAGCAGCATCGCGGTCCCGTCCATCCTCATGTCGTCGAGGACAATGTTCACGCTGTACATCCGCGAAATCTCCGTGGAGATGGGGAAGGCCTGATCGCTGCTACGGAGTGCTGGAGGAGTAGACAGAAGATCGCACATCACCCCCCTTTCCTTCAGGGCTCCGACCGAGAGGATGTTCGCTCCTAGGTTGTCAACCAGTAGTACTTGTAGCTCCACCGGGACGAGTTGGTTCCGGTCGTTTGAGATGCCGAAACGCAGGATACCTTTCTGAGCCGCGCTCGACGTTCCACACGAACCTTTGATCCTCACGTTGCAGTCCGACTTCTCGGTCACGTGGCGAGATGCGTAGGAATCCGCGCTAACCATGTGGCTAGACGCTGCTGTGTCTACGAACATAATGGTGCTCCTGGCGGACTCGTCCTTAACCTGGTACACACTGGTGTAGGCAACTATATCTGTTGCATCAGCAAGCGGGTTCTGCACCTGAACGTCACTAGCAGCATCAGCAGCACGCTCCTCGGGCAGCGGCACAGCAGGGGTATCCAGCACTTGCTCATCGTCGGCAGCGCGCTCCTCTGGCAGCGCCGCGGCAGGCGCCTCCGCCACCTGCTTCTCAGCAGCAGCGCGCTCATCGGGCAGCGCCACAGCAGGCGCATCCAGCACCTGCGCATCATCAGCAGCGCACTCCTCTGGCAGCGCCGCAACAGGCGCCTCCGGCACCTCCTCCTCAGCAGCAGCGCGCTCCTCCGGCAGCGCCGCGGCAGGCATTTCCAGTGCCTGCGGATCGTAGATGACAAGACCTTCCTGCACGCCCACGGCGGCGCGCTTCTCCGGCAGCGCCGCGGCAGGCATCTCCAGTGCCTGCGGTTCTCCAAACGAGATGGAAAAGTCCTCCGGCTCACCGCTGGATTCCTCGACTCGGGTGAACCATGCCTGCGTGGACGGTTCCGGCGCGGCGGCATTCGCCTGTTGGGCGTTATCCTCTCGCACGTTCTCCAGGCGAAGGGGGCAGCCGTCCCATCCGTGCTCTGTAGAGTTGTGGCAGTACTTGCAGCGTCCCTGACGGTCTCGGCCCTTTTGGTGACTTTTGTTTCCGCCTTTATTGGACTTGTTGCCGCGGCCTCGCCCGCGCACATCTTGCGCGCCTCCAGGGCTATCGCCTCTGGAATTTCCGGCGGAGGAGCCGCTGCTGCCGTTGTCTCCGGTCGGTTGGCTGCCATTGCCTTGGCGGTTGCGTCCGCCGCGTCCGCCACGTCCGCCTTGCTTACGGAAACTACGTGCACCCCCGTGCACGACCGTGTTGTGGGCACGGCCGTGGGCAGAAACCTTCCCCCTGATCTGCAGTGTATGGTACGCGGTCGCTCGGTGCGCGACATTTTCGAAGTCAAGATCCAACTCCGAGCCATCGGCTTGTCCGCACACCAGCGCGGCCTTAAGTTGGGCGTAGTGCTGGTCAGGAAGCGCGTTCAACAAGATATGCGTCTGGCGGGCTGGTACGACCTTGTCTCCAAGTGACTCGAGTTCGGAACTGATACGACGCAAGTCTTGGATTGCACGCGCCGGGTCGTAATCGTCCTCGGCAGTGACCGCAAGTGATCCTAACTCTCGCTGCAGTTCATGCATCCGATAGGTGCCCTTCTGGCGGTACTTCGCTTCTAGGGCAACGTATGCCGCACGTCCGTCCCCATGCTCACCAACGCGAGCGGGGCCGAAGGCTCGAACGACTTGGGAAGCAGTGCTCGAGAATCCATCGGCGCAGTCGGACGTAGCAAAGTTTAACCGTGTGTACAGTTTGCCGTTCTTACGTTTGAATTCCAGCGTCGTCCTGTCGAACGCAGCACGATCCGAATCCGCGCTGCTGGCCGCCGATGCCGGGGCGGTCTCCGTCCCAGCCATGATGTCGCCTAATCCTTGCTCATCCATGATGGAGTAGAACAGGCCACTCCAGCCGTGGAAATCTTCCGGCTTCCCGCTAAACGGGACGTATCCTTGTTTCAGGTAGTTCGTGGCGGACGCCATGCTGCTGCTGGGGTGTGACTCGATGTGAATTACCTACCAAACGCTAGGCTCATGACCTGACAACAGAATTGTAGTTGCTGTTTGTTGTGTAGTTGGCAGTGGTGGCGCAGTTTGGGTAGATACAACACAGAGTGATCATTAGATCCAAAACACAGGCGCCCAAGCTGTCTTCACCTGACGGTTACAGACTTGGAGACACGCCTTCACAATACTGCACAAAACCCATGCAGTAGAATAGAGTCAGTTCTTGCATACAAATCCCAACAGCGGGATGAGCCTTCTAATCCACCACTCACGGCACACCTGTGCCCGCCGCCCCACCAGCAACAGATGAATCAAAACCTGCAACCAAAAAAAATACATCCCGTCTCTACCGCTACGGGTATTAGTCCCAAGTAGCAGTATTGTAGTGCAGGACGACACATACGTGTTGTCGACACTCATTCGCGTTCTGTCCCCTGCTCTCTACACATGAGTTGTTAGCGCATATAGATATACCCTTCTTTGCATCGATTCGTCTCTCCAAATATCGAAACACGTGTGCAGTACCGCAACATCCTCGATGCTGCCCGCATATATATATTTGATTACATGCAGCCTTACCAGACGACAGCGTCAACCCCAGCAGTTCCCCCCCTGCAATTGCCATCCAAAATAACCAGGGCCTCTCACCTTCACGGCGAGGCAGGAGACAGTGGCATCAATACCAGCACACGGAGTAAGCAGGTCGGAGCTCAGGAAGGAGAGGGCCGCCCGCGTGTCCAATACGTAGATGAGACAGACTCGACGAGTTTGGTGTTCACTATTAGCTTGGGGAAGTCACACAGCGTGGCAATGCGAAAGACGTGATAAAAAGGGAACATTTTTTAAGAGTCGGGCGCTTTCCCTCGCGTGTCATACCCCCGTTGTAGGGCGAACACACATACAACAATCGAGCTGCAACACAGACTGTGGTCTTCTTGCAGCAGACAGACAGCCCGACGTGCATCATTCAACACGTTGGAGCCTCTCGCCTTGACGTGAAGTAGATAGCACTACTGCCATCACACGGGGATCAACCAGAGGTCAGGGAGGATAGGACGGGCTGCGTCCAGTCGGGGTGGCAATGCATGCAATGTACTGCTGTTGTAGTAATTAAGGAGAAATAAATACACGCACAGAAAGACTACCCATTCGAGATATACCCACAGTCGAACGGGATATGGTGGAGTCTTTTCAGTAAGTGGAGGAAAACCGGCTGGGTACTGGACTTACATGAACAAGACGTTGGGACTTCTACTGAACTGTCGGGGCGAAACGGCAAAAAATAGACGGGCAAAAGAGAATGGAACCAACGAAACGGCACTTGTTTCTACGTCATGACACAGGGTCGACGAGTTTGGTGTTCATCAGCTCGGGGAAGAAAATATCGTCCCACAGCGTGGCAACGCGATCGACGTCAGAAGGATAGGAAATGTACACAAGCATTGAGCGCTTCCCTCGCGTTGTATGTGATGCCTCCATTACTGGACGAACGTACAACAATCGAGCAATGCGTACTCTATGTACTGATTGTATGTAGTCTACACAGCACTGCCAAAATATCTTCACTACCAGGATAACAACCCGACGTGCATCATACAACGCAGCAAAGCCTATTACCTTCACGGCAAGGCAGAAGTAGATTGCACTGCACGACTACCAGTTCTGAGAAGAACCAGGGCTCAGGGAGGACAGGACGGGCCGCGTCCAAGGCGATGGTAGACTTTGCGGACGCAGTGGGACTGACCTGTCGCGGGCGGCACAACAACAATGACTAGGCGGGGAGAATACAAGTACTTTTTTGCATGTGATGCCGGTCAACGTGCTTGATTATTGCCAGCTTCGGGAAGCAGCTGTCGCGCCACAACGAATGCAGAAAAGCAAACAGAAAGAGTGGAACATGCTTCGGCGATTCCCTCGCGGTACGATGCATGTTCATGGACGAAAGCACACACGATCTAACAGCAGTAGTAGACTACCCACACGTCAGCCACATATTTAGTCGATCTCGGGTACAAGTACGGAAATACGCAGGGTCTATAAAACCGGAAAACGAGGAGCGACGAAACAAAGTAAAACGAAGAAAGCGAATGGCATCATATGCTGGAAACCCGCACACGATATCTCCCATGTCTGGGCTCACCTCAAAGGACCTCTGTCGAAAACCCTGCGTAGGTTGGGAGTCAAGCTGCAGGGGCGGCAATGAATGGCAGCTATCGTGAGAGAGTGAGAGAGAAGAAGCTGGCAGGGATAGGAATGACGGAATGGGGAAGCGCAACCAAGCTAGAGAAGGGGTCCGCGCACACAGGTTTTTGTTAGGGGACAACGTTCGACACGAGAGGAATCGATTGAAGATGACTTCGACAAAGTGAGTCAGGCAGCCGTTACGATATTTATTCTTCAACTCCTGTCGACTCACACATATTTTCCCTGCGTGCGGCGGCTTCCTTGCTTCTATTCTTGTGTCTTCACGTTTGTATGGACGTACTACGCTGAAAGCCGACCGAAATGCGCCTCTTCGTCCTTTCTCCGTACATATCCGCTGCCATTCACGAACAAATAATCGACTAAACGCATCCTGGGTATTGTACGTTTCGAAACCCCTCATCCACGTCCAGGCAGGGGGGGGACGGGCACTTCTCAACACGACTTACTCTATGATATGTGAATGTATTGCGCTGTTGGTATCCGAATGTTCAGCCAGCATTTGCCGCTCTCCGATTCAATGCTGTTTGTTCTTTTCACTGCAAATTACAGAGCAACAATTGCCTGTAATGAGCGTTTTAATGAGCATTGGGGCGATGGTACACGGCAAAATCAAAGCGTACCACACGGAGTACAACCGAATCCTTGCCTAATGAGGACCTGGATTCTACCTCCTTTGGCACAGGCGAATTTACAATGTACGGGGGACTTGTTCCGAAAATAGCAGCCCTCTTCACTAAAATGCGCAAACAACGCCGATGTAGATTCCGTGTTCCGCACCGTACAGCCGAAATCCCAACCCAACCAGCATCTGTGGGAAGGGAACGGGACAACTTGCGGGGCCGAATAGTCGCTTACATAGCCGCAGGAGCAGCATTCCTTTTGCCAACTCGTAATGTATGTATAAACAACGACACGCGAATTCACGCACTCACCCGACTATTAGGCAACTCGAGCAATAGCGAAAGAAAAAATAGCTGTTACCACACGCAGTACCAACAGACCCAACCTCCAGCCCTTGCCACCACCGTATCAATCACTTCCCTCGGAAAAGCAAGATGAAGGCGGGCAATGCCGAGCGTTAAAGAAAGCTGTACGAGGTTCACCGATAGCACTCACCCGATAACCTGGTAGAGCAGCAACATAGCTCCCAACCCGACCAATAACCGTTCTCATCAGTATCTCTCTGTCGCCTCGTAGCCTACTGGAAGCAATGTGGATATCGCACCATCGGGCATCCCCTCGTTCTATGCTTCCTCTTCTCCCGCTAAGGCCTTTCCGGTTTCGCTTATCAGAATATTTCGGCGTGCTTCAACCACTCTCCCCCTTGCAATCAACCCAACCATGAGCTTTTGCAACAATCAGCTCCAGCGCATGACGTGGGCCTGTGGACAGGTGTTCAGCCAGCAACATACGTCTTCCTTCGTGGAGAGCATGGGAGAAGCGCAAACCCAATACAAGAACGCACTTCCTTCCTTGTAGACGAGGTGGCTTAAGTTACCGGTGGGGCAGATGAACGAAAGAAGCCGGTGACGGGTCATGCCGTCAAAGACGATGCGGCGGCGGTGGCGGCGGTGGCGGCGGTGGCGGCGGTCGAAGCCGGCGATTCCGACGACGCCTCCCTGATTTCATCGGCCTCCATGAAGTGATGGGCCACCATTTCTTTGGCGCGCTCCGCATCTTGGTCCTGCCAACAACAAAAACAACAAAAACAACAAAAACGACGACGACCACGACCACGACGATAAGATCAATCTGTACTGTCAACAGCAACGTGGTCAGCACAAATCATATCCACCAAAACAACGAACGCAAGATCGAAGCATGCAGTGGCAACAATCGACAGACAAGTCAAGCCAACTGAAACGTTTGAAACGGTGAACTCGCCCAACACAAGTACCCAACATGATGAAAGTACGCGCGTACAAAGCACACCATGTGAACACGATCAGCGAAACCACAAGAGGTAAGAACTATTCAAACCACACTGGGGTAATAACCATTCAATCTCACCCCGGATCGCAACTCTTTCGGTGACAAAAGAAAAAAATTTCCGTGCGATTTGTGATACCGAGAGCCGCCAAATAGTGGCGAATTCCAACGGGGCAGGAACACCGTACTGCGTGGACCTACCTCTACAGGCGCAACATGTATCACGACAAACAAAACGTCATGACTGAGCGCCCCCGCTGGTATCCAAACACACGCACACCTTGCTCTTCCTAGTGATGTGGTTGTAAAGGTACACCAGGGAATGCGGCGTGATGCCCTGCATCTGAGAGGCCGCTGCGAAAGTCTCCGGCCTGACGGTGTTGAGCTTCTCCAGCTCCTCGGCAGACATCGACGGCAGCAGGTCGTGGGTGTATTGTATATCTGCGGGAATCCTGTGACAACCAACGAGCAACACAAACACACGCATCCAGAAACCAAGATGAAAAACAGGATCCAAGACAAGACACGTGAAGCTAACGTTCACAGGACTTTCAATACTCAAACGGGATGTTCAAGAGAAGGGATGCACACCGACTTCCACCGCAACAGAGCAATGAATTTTCTGGACAGCGCAAAAACAGCAATATCCTACACAAAACAACTTTGCATACAACTAAATACTACACGCATCGTGGTTCCACCCCGCACCTGAAGTCTTGATTTCTTCTCCAGCTCTCCATCTCCTTCACCTGTCTGTCCATGTAGTTCATGTACTTGCACGAGGCTTCCACGGTCTCCCTGGCGAAGTCTGGCGTCCTTTCGAAGGTGGACACCTTGGACAGCTCTCTTGCGCCGGCCTCTCGCACGTCCTCCAACACCTTTGGTGTTGTGCGTCGTGCGGAGAATCGGACATGTGTACGAACGAACGTAGTAACGTGCAACACGCGGCAAAACTTACATCTCCGGCAACACGGGGTGTAGTAACCCGTCACTGCCAAGACCAATGGTGTAACACTACTCTACACAAGAAAACCACGATTGTTGGAATTGGGGCTGAAACAACGAAAACAAATCAGCAAGCGACCCAATTAGCGAGAAAGAAGTTCCAGGGGCGAATCACAGGCCGCCAACGCGTGTCTCTCAACACCTTCGTTTTCGGAACGCTTTACAACGTGGTACAAAAATATGACACAATCGCAACCAAGCGAGTTGATACCCGAACCCTCACCTAAAATGACGACAGCATGCAGCTTGATAATGTTCTCACGAACGGAAAAAAAAAAATCAAGCCGAAGGTATGCGACAGTCATTCAGGGCGTGACTAAACAGAAGTAATAAATAGACAAGCACGATCGATGGACAGGCGGACGGACGGGCGCACGCGAAAAACGCACCTCAAGGGGATCTCGTCCCTCGGCAACCTGGTCCCACCCGATGTCCTTGAGCGTCGCCTCGACCCCCATCGCCTTCACGGCAGCGTCGAGCGCCTTCTCTCGGCTCCTCAGCTCGTCCACACGGTCCTAACATTGTGCACCGATCCGGTCGATGTTTGGGGTGCATCAATCGCCGTTCACCAGCCAATGGATTTTCCGCGACAGCGAGACACGACTCGCGGCGGGTTGTTGCTGGACATCAATGACACACTTCCAAGTGGTGTTCTCGAAGAACAATAACAACTACGGCATTTGAAACAGACACAACAAAAACAGAGTTCCACGTGATTGATTCGATAGTACTACAGGTAACGCGCCTTGATTTCCTCAGTTCATCTGACCGTGAACACAAGCGTGACGTCATCATCTTGCAAATACAGCAAAACAACACACGGCGTTTTCCAACGAACTGCAGGTTCGCGTCGCCGAGGAGGGGGTCCTCTCCGTCCATTCCAAGTCTGACCGGGGAATTTCTCAACTCCTGCCATTTGTCTAGGTCCGGCAATCTCCTCTGAGTGTACAAAACATTTTAACTGAGGGCGAAGGAATGTCGCGCGATAAGTCACGTCATGGAAAACTTCGGTCGTGTGTGGCAGGGCTGGGCGTCAAACCTGTCTTCTTTGTGGCCAAGGAAGGGCATGTAAAGTGCTACTCCCTGCCTAAGAAGACTTAACAAGACACACTTTCATCGCGGACATCTTGAGACGCACGCACACACGAATGTTGGGCAAAACGACGCGCGCACGACCAAGGAAAAAACAACAAAAAGCACAATCAGAAACAACAAGGCAAGGATTGTCGCGAAAACAAAACCACACGCAGCAGCAACAGCAGCAGCTACCGTCGCAGAAAAAAAGCCGGCATGACACACTTCGGAACATGTCAAGTTAGTGACGGGTCCAAAACTTCTCGACCCCAAGGTCGTCGTTGTTGATGGTGCTTTGCCATCGTTGCCGACCGTTGGTGGTGGTTGCACCAGTCCACGGCGCCATATCCTTCATTTACTCCCCATGTAAGTTCGTCTCCAAGACCCCTTCATCTTACGCCAACAACCATCAACGCCACACGTGTCAAGCCATTACAATCACATTGCTCATCAAAGCACAACTTCACGTGACATGCCATACAAACACACCTGCGCGTGCGTGTCGCGCATGGCAGCCTCGACCATCTCCAGCGGGACGTCCGGGAGTTGCACCATCTCAGCGGCGTTTTTTCTCCGTCCGTCCGCCCCCTTGTTGCCGAACTGCAGGTCTAGGCCGTACCCCTGCCACCCACCCACCGTCAAGGAGAACCGCTTCAGCTCGTACAAGCTCTTCCAGGGGGAAACAGGCAGGGGGGAGGGAGGGCGATGATCAGGGGTAGGAACAAGAACGCAAACACACTGCAGGTTCAGTGTTTCATACTCCGGAGTACTCAAAACAGCCTTGGTTCTGTTTTCCCTTCACGCCCCTGCTGGCTAAAGCTCTTCCCTGCCACGCCCCAGGTGGCAAGCAAAGGAGGCACAAGAGACAGGGCAACCGACAACTTTGAACACAAGGGTACACTTCCGATATCGCTACCACTTGAGTAGGGTCATCGACTGAGTTGTGTTGACACCAAATTTCCAATTTTGCGTGAAAATGTAACCCTGGTTACAGGGAATAAACCAGATTGCGGGCCTGTGCCATAGAAATCCGGGTATTTGAGAGATAGCAGCCATTCACGAATCCAATAGCCTACTGTCGAAACGCCCATGGCCAAACTTCGGTGGCAGAGCTCGTCCCTCTCTCGTTCGACGTACCTCCGCCACCGCCGCCTCCCGGGCCATCATGAACTCCATCCGCTCTTCGCCGACGATCCCCGCCTCGTACCCCTTGGCCGTGAGGCGCAAGTCGGCATTATCCGCCCGCATATATAGACGGTACTCAGCCCTGCCGTGTGCCGTGTGTAAAGCCGGTCGCCAAACACCGGGAACACAAGAAAACAAGAACAAGGAAACAGAAGGCATAAATTACCCCTCCGAGGGAGTAGAAACATTGTTTGTGCAAGAAAGGCATACGCTGTCATGTGCCAAACGAAATGATGCGCTTGTCGCTCACCATCACCAAGCGGACCAACCAAAAGTGCCTGCGTTATTCCCGACAACGGCCACGTCATCCGAAACACTCTGAAGAATTGTACCTGGAAGTGAACATTCGGTATGGCTCGTCGGCTCCCTTGGTGACGAGGTCGTCTACTAGGACCCCGATGTACCCCTCGTCCCGGCCCACGGTGAACTCGGGCCTTCCGACAGCCTTCAGACCAGCGTTAGCTCCTGTTGGGCGTGGGGCATCCACGACAGGCAGTATTAAGAGTGAATCAACAAGAAATTACGAATGAATAGGAGTCGACAGAGTGAAGAGATCAGGGACGATGGCAAGTTAATGTGGGCAGAGTGAACATGAGTGAGTTAAGAAACGCGTGAACCGAGAGGGCCCAGGGAGAGAGTGGAAATAGTGTACTCAGTGACTTGATGGATTGAGCGTGATATTTGAGTGAACCGAGCTAGCTGAGTGAAGTGAGCTTCAGCGAAGTGTTGAGGGAAAGGGCGTGTGAGTACGAGACGAGTGGGTTGGATAGGTTGGATACGTTGAATCAGTTTCTTGGTTGAATGAAAGAGTGAAAAATTGGTGGGTTGAGTGAATCGAGGATGTTTAGTGAGCGGCTGCGTCCCTCTCGCTAGTTTGGCCTTTATGGCGACAAGCGTCTAAATAGTGAAATGTCGCCAAGCCAGTTGTCAGACCGAACAAAACAACCACCAACACGTTACTCAATGGGCTCCTTGGCACCGCGTGAGCGTGTACGTGCTGTTGCAAACTACCGTGTAGGTTCTCCTCTCAAGATGATTGGACCTCGTCGGGATGGAGATACCGATGCCGACACCTGAGGCAAAGAAAACCAAACAGCCCATCCCCTGTTCCACCTCCTCACCCAACCGAGTGGCAGCCACACCAACCACGTACAGTAGGGGGCCCTCTATAGTGCCGGTATGTGTTCAGAGAGCAAAGCGGCACTATACCGGGCACCGGCACTATTCAGAGTACAGAAAGACTTGACATTCCGGTGTGTGCGAGCCGAAAACACCGGCACTATACCGGCAACCGGCACTATTCAACCGGCACTATATCGGGCCACCCACTGTATCGCACCATTCCGCACTCGCACAAAAAAAAAAAGCCACCCAACTGCCCCCCGCTTCCTCTCACCCGCGACGATGCCCTGTGCAGCAGCTTCCTCGTAGCCGGTGGTGCCGCAGATCTGTCCGGCGAGGTAGAGCCCCTTGATCTTCTTGGTCTCGAGGGTGTGCCTGCAGCTGCGAGGGTCCACGTAGTCGTACTCTACGTCGTACCCCGGCCGAATGATCTCCACCTCCTCGAGCCCCTTCATGCTCCTCATCACCTGGTTCGTTGCCGGGTGGAAGTGGCGGTTGCGGTTGCGGTGGAGTTTTTCGACACTGGTGATGATACCACGTGTTGGAACCTCAGCCCTCATCCTGAATCGTTCTTCAGGCGAAAACCGTCGTTGTTTGGCTGCATGCGTTGTACATACAATAATTTGTTGATCAAAGGGAGTTGCAGAGCACTGGCACCGCATGCTGCCACTCTCTGGGTGGTCGATCGAGAAAATGCCTTCCTCTTCGAACGTGGCCAGAACCTCGACCAACGATGGGTCGGCGTACGTGCTGCCAGCTGCCGGCAAGGCCGTAGTTGTTTGTCGTTGTTGTTGCCGCACGCTTTTGTTGTCACTGCCGCTTGGCTGTTGCTGCTGTCACTGCCGCTGGCTTCTTTCCGGTTGTGTGCAATGCAGTCTTTGGTGGTCTCTAGCCTCGATCCCTCCGCGACCTTTTTCTTTTGGAGATGACCCGCCCCCACAACGCCAGCCGGCGCCCTGACCTCCCTGCTACTAAACAACCAGGGCGACACACCGACCATTCTCGATTCCTGAACATCCGGTTGGCGTTCCTTCGAGCAAAACAAAAAACTCCCTGAGTCGGTCAGGCCTTTTTCCTGGTTGATCACACCTGACATCGCAAGCGCGCGTAGGCCGGCCGCGACATACACACCCCTTACGTGCTACTCAGCAGACCCTGAAGAAGGTACTTGAACGAAAAGAGAAAGGGTCGAGACGTTGCATGTACACACACGTGGCCTGGGTTACGCCGTTAATTCACCTGGAGCTGTATGTCCGCGGGGAAAGGGCCGGACATGCCGTTCGGGTATACGACGTTGGTGTTAAGCCCCTCCGGCTCAAGGAAGGAGAGATGTTGCAGTCGGTCGGGGAAACGCTCCACCTGCAGTACAAAAGCACAGCAGCATCAGCGAAAGAAAGAAGGAAACCAGCCATTATTGAAGAAACCGCCGGCGTGTGGGGTTGGTAATTTCCGCCTGTAGCGTAGCCGAACCAACCCTAGGCACCATACGTCACCACCACGATACGCGTTCGTTGGTACTGGCGTGCTGCAGTGCGGTCGTTGGTGCACGTTGTAAACACGAAGGAATCGCCTCGCCCGTCTCCATACCGCAAACGTGCCTCCCGTACGTCAGAAACCCACGGCACGATCGCAGAACTTGTAGGTATCGCAGATATAATAGACTACGCAAGGCGGCGACGACCACGATAACAACGGCAAAGCAACAAGTAACGAAGCAAGCACCTTCTTGAAGATCGACGGGCAGTAGCGAGGGCCCACTCCGTCAACGGAAGGTTCCGGCAGCTTGTGCCCGTTGGCAATCACGATCCTTCGTTTTTGTCATTTTGGAAAGTATCATGAAAAGGAAAGAAATGCGCGGTCACGGGGTACACAGCGGCGGGGGGCGGAGGGGGTGGAGGGTCACGTTCGTGGAATGTGGCGCGTCCTCAGTCGTTGCTTCGCCGTCGATGTGGCATCTGCTTGGCAATCTATGTCGATTGACACCGAGCCCAAACACAATGCTGTTGGAGTCTCACCCTCCCAACGTGCACGTGATGTTCGCAAAGCGATTTTCGTGCTGTTTCGCTGTGAGCATGGTTTTGCTGTAGTGCAGTATGCGTTTGCATTCCACGGTGCCACCGCGTGGAAACGGAGTTAGGTGATGATAGTCAGGATAACAGCCGGGACGCTTCGTGCCCACCACCAGGAGGAGTACACGAAAAGAATAAAAAGCGAAGCGACAACGACAGGACAAGAAAAGGCACACCAGATCGCCTGTCTACACACACTTGCTGGCATGGCAACATGTGCCGAGCGGTGTAGAGCGATATGTTTCGATTAGAAGAGGCAAACAAAGCAAGAAACACGGCCATGGCGGCAGTGTCGTGCTGCTCTACGTTGGCTGTTGCTGCCATGTACCGTATCGTTTGCCAAAAAAAGAAACGTCGCGCTTCGTGAAACAACAAAAAAAAGTGCACAACACGACCATGTAGTGTCTTGCACAACACGCCGCACCGGTGGGTCTCCTCGTTTGTGTATGTCTTCGCGCAGGAGATGAGCTTGTCCGCCATTGAAACCCCAGTGAGGGCGTTCATGTACGAGAACGGGAGAGGCGGCACTTCGCTCGGCTGGGCCTCGAGAATGCCTCCACAAGGGACGAGGGGACACAAACAATAAGAAAAAGGGTTTGGCGGAGGAAAAACGAAACAGGCACGTAGAGCCGAGAAGTCAAAGGAGTCAACAGTGAGGGTTCCATTTCTGGATGGTCTACGCGGAAAATCTGAAACATACAATAAGGGGATAGAACTTGAACTCTGCAAAAAAGGAGGAAGGGACAGAAACATCCAGCAGTAGGGGGGCACGTGGAAGATAATGCCGTAGTACGCCAAGGTCGGAGAGAGAAGACTTTACCATAACTGGCAAACGCGGCTGATCAAGGGATGCATCCCTTCGAGAAAGGGATGACACACAAAGGTTACGCCGATCCTCAGGTGTGCCGGTACCGCTGAAAACCCCTGCCTTGCCAGGAGGAGAGAGAACGCAGCGGCCAACGATGCCCAAACGACACGCGACACGAGACCACCAAAACCATTATCCCCTTTCCCAGTCTCGTCCTCTCCCCGGACTAGTTGGCCCCGATTGAAAGTGTTCCCACCATAACAACGGCACCCTGCCCCCCCCCCCCCCCCCCCCCAC